AATTCCCAAATAAAAGAGCCCCAAAATTTAAATAGGGAAAAAAAAAAAAAAATAAAAATTTTTAAAAAAAAAAAAAAAAAAAAAAAAAAAAAACTCATCTTGCTTGCCAAAATTTGATTTAATGGGATTCTTTATATTTGTCTTTTTTTCCCCTAATATTTCAAGGACAACATTTACTGATGTGTTTTTGTTACTTTTACTTGTTCTTTCTAAAAAACAAATTACCTATATGAAATGAAACAAAAAACTATGAATTAAATAGTGCAAAGAAACCCAACTATTTGATGTAAACTTGTAATGAAATTATTCTCAATGCTAATGCTAATAATTGGGTAAACCTGGTATTTTTTAATGAAATGCCAAACAAATACAGCAGTTTCTACCTAAGACTTAAACCTATCAGTCAACTTTTACTGAATAAAACCGATTTTGGATTTAAAAATACGATAAAGCAATGAAGAACTTGTCGTTCTTTTTGTTTAGGTGCAACGCTTGGCAGACACTAACTGCGCTTTAATTTTTTATTTTAATTTCTTTATGGCAACTAATCACATTTTACAAGGTTGTGAAACCAAGTTTTTTCAACAAAGAGATGATGTGAATCTCGTGAAACCAGGTGTGGTTCACTTGTGACGGCCTTTAAAGTGGAAAAATTGAAAGAAATACTCTTGAAGGAGGTCTCCAACCTCCCTCAAGGTTTTCCGTGATATGAAATCCTTTTTTTGGTAGCAAAAAGTTCATTCATGTTGTTTCCACACGCTACTACCAACATGCCGGGTCCTTGACCCAAGACGCCTCAATCACTGCCAGAAACACAGCCGCGTTTCCAAAAGACACAGATGAAACTACTTGAAACTCTACCAGAACACATGAGTGTTGGCACCATCTGTACACATTTATAACAAAAACAAAAAACTATGTTTTTATATCCTCAGAAGACGGTTTAATAGACAGTCTCGGTTTAACTTACCAGGAGATTGTTAGGTACGGGTCTCTCCTTGGGGTTCTTTCGCATGCTGAGAAAAGAGAGAACAAGCGGAGAGTTTATCCAGTCATCATTCGCTGTATTGCAAAGTGCAAAAGAGCCGTTTTTGTTCTATTAATATATGTATACTTTCATTAATAAATTGATACATGAAAGGAGTCTTTCTACGAAATCCTTCATGCCACAGATGCTGAAAAAAGAAAGAATGAATAACCATACAACACAGGTAATTTATTCCACATAATTAGAGAATTTGTGTTTGTGTGTGTGTGCGTGTCCTCCATATTGTGTTTACTGTGATCCGTCAGAATGACCGACACGGGGGACTGTGTGCAGTTAGTCGTGAAACTGCTTTATGTATCATAATGAAAGGGCCATGACCGTCTAAGAATAGTCAGACAGTAGAGTACAAACGCTGCACCAAAGCTGGACGGAGCACCTGTGCAGAGAGGTGTCCTGTGTGAGCAAACACAGCCGCCACGGGGGACAAACAGCAGCTGCCGTGGTCTGCCGGCGAGCGCTGAGCACACACACTCATACACAGAGCATGCATGTGGTTTGGGAGTGCATGTAAATGTTTGCCTAACTGTAAAGGTTACAAGTGGCTAATGAATCAGAGGCAAAACAGGGTAAACACTGGATTTTGTCCTCGCGCATTAGAAAAGCAGCCACTGTCAAAGGGACAGCTTTCAATCCATTGCTAGCAGCCCCATATATTATGGCTCAAGCCAACTACGACACAATGAAATCACACACACACACACGGGGACATGCACTTTAATGCCATTAAACACTATAATACCCTTGATTCATTCAGGATCATTTGGCCCGTTCACAACAAATATGGCCTGCGGGATTTTGAACTGTTCAGTCTGACGCACTGGAGTCAGAGCCGTCGGTTTTTGTTGGTCACAAAAACGACACAAATGTAATATAAAATCACCCAAAACTTGGAGCACACAGAGTTGAAAGTGTTTTAAGTACAAATAATTTAAAAATATTGGTCGTCTGACTCACCACTGAGTGATGAAGTGAACAAACTTTTCACTGAACTGTCCAACGGGAAGAACTGGAGGGTCCTGCAGGAGGAAACAAACCCATTCATATAGAAAACAACAATTCATGTACAGAAAAAAAAAAATATTTTACTCTCACTTTCTGCTAGGTCAGAAATGTACACACACCAAGCTCAATAAGCCTTTAAGACATTTGGGAATGCTCACATGATGATGATGATGTCATGACTAAGCTGCTGCAGCACAACTGTGGATGTATTTAAAGACAACCCCTCAAACACACCACTTCCATGTGTGTAACTTCTTAGGGAGCCCGGGTTTTGGGCCTAAGGAGGGTCTATGGAGTGAACTTAGCTTAGATTAGGTTTAGGATCATATACTGCTAATGGTTAGGTTTAGGGTAAAGGTCAGCGCTGAGATTCATCTAAAAAATAAATGGAAGTCAATGCAAAGTCCGTGTGAAGACCGCTTCATTAGTTATTTTAGCTTGCCATAAAGTTCCAGTCTCCAGGTGTTACAGCTTACAGTTATTATCATCATCTAATATTAATGAAACATTGCTTTGAATTAAACATAGTTTCATTATGGGCACAATTGTGTATTTGTATAAAAAGCATTCTTCATAAAACTGAAATTTCTTTGACATCCACTTTCATTTAAAGATGGTAACTGTGACACTGTGGCCGATATGAAAGTCTCTGGGAGTAGACATTGTTAGACATCGTTACTCCTGCAATCGTAGGGTGCTGCACTTAATTTTAATCTTTCAATCCCCAAAATGTGTAGATCTATCCTGTGGTATTTCACGTGCCTTCATATATTGCAGACATAATCATGGTGGGCCGGCATGACCAAAAAATGTCAGGGCCATTTTCTGGTCCCAGTCGTGCGCTGGGTGAAGAGGAAATAAAGGAATCAGGATCTGAAGAGGCTTTTAGGTTTAAAATATAAGCAATCCATCAAATTTCACAGAAAGATGAAACCAGATAAAGAAACCAACATGACAAAAGCTGCTGTGAACCTCTTCAGGTCATTCAAATCAAGGCCACATTTCTGAAGGAAAGGTATTCATGTATGAGGTTTTTTTTTTTTTTTTTTTATATATTGTTGCTTTTAAAACATGGCAGTGTTTTGTTCCCCAGTTGATAAATGCAGAATGGGAACCAGCTTTGTAGGATATCTTCCTGTGTCAAATTACTGGAAAAAAAGATTGTGCAGCAATTAAACACACATTGGATGCACCCACTAAGATACATTCAAAATATAAAAATAAACTTGACTTTTCAAAAATGTGCTATAGCTGTAGCACATTTAAAAAGTATATATGAATCCATAGAAAGTTGGCAGACATAACATTGGATTACTGGTTGTTTTATCTACCTCTAAAATGCTCTATTATGCATGTCTGAATTAAAACCAACTAAAAACTGGGAGAAAAGGCCCACGACCTGAACCCTGTGCCCATCTTTTGACGTGTACTTTGTCAATGTTGGCTCTCTGAAGCATGTCATGCAAACCATCTGTGCAACCGTCGCTTTACCTCATTACTTCATTTTGTTCCATTTATTCTGCTCCTGTTCTTGTTCTGTGCTCTCAGCAGAACAGTAAAATAAAACAAATAGGGCTTTTTCTCGTATTTGCAGCTATCGTAGTCAATTCCAACAGAGAAAAAGAAGTGAAGCAAAGTTTTGTCTCCTCCATCTTTTAAGGTCTAATCAATTTTGAACTACTGCAACATAAAACAAGGTAATGTGGGCTTGAATAGAACTTAAATCAGATTTAAGAGGAAAAATCTGAAAAAGTTAGTTGGTAGGTGGATTATTTAGTAGATCCTAATTCCAGAGATCTGCACACAAAAAAAACAAAAAAACAAAACAAAACACTAATTGTTTATATATGTAGATATACACACACGAAACCTTAATATCTGAATTCAAAGCCAGTCGTTTATTCAAATGCCAAAAATTAGACCTCTTTACAAGCACAACCCTGCTGTGCCAGTAAAAACACCTCTGGGCTGTGTTCGCCATTCCTTAATGCTCTGATCGGCAGCCTCCCGCAAAGCATGATGCATGAACCCATTTAAATTAACAAAGGAACGGCTCCCTCATAATCTCACTGCACTTCACAGTCGCGTCACCGCTTGGATGAACAATATATCATAGCGCATACACAAAACCTGCACCCACAAACAAATGCCCTTGAGCACCACACAGTACAAGCCCGACTGTAGATGGTGAAACCCCGGACAGGCATTACAGTCTGCATGCACACTCAAAATTAAACCCGGAGTATGTTCAAAGAGTTGACCAAGCAAGTAAACGCATCCTTTGTGCAGATTAAACCTCCGTCCACACTCCTCGCATATCTGCAAGCACCTTAATGCACCTTTTTTTTTTTTCGCAGAAACAAACACACTATGCATTTATTCATGTTTCCAGCTGAGCGCAACACTGCTGCAGCTTTGATGTGGCAGCAGGCGATGGCACAAAAGACAAGCAGGCTGATGAAAGTGACTGGTCTGTTTAAATTATTCCTCTGCTTGTCAATTTGCTCCACTGTAAGACGGCGCGTTCGCGTGCGTGCGTGCTACGAGGGTACGAGTAAATATACATGTCATTGCCATGAAGCAATTATTAGGCAAAATTAGATCAGTAATTACAGGCTTGAGAATAAAGTGGGAGTTCTTTATTAGCGAAGCCGCTTGCTATTCAACAAACAGAGGAGAGCCGGCACATTAATGAGAGAGGACAGCGGACAGATGGAGCGAACGACTGCAGAGAACTTCCAATTTAAGACCTTGGCTCAGCGGCGCGAGCGTTTTTCTCAGGGACACACTAAAACAATCTAAGTGAAGAGTAACTACATTAACGTCAATTAAACATACATGCGGTCTTAAACGAGCCCCATTCTCTGTGTCATAAAGGTTAATAAAGCAGCAATTATTTGCTATGTAATAACAGTTTATTTGCTTTCCTCTGGTCTGTCTACCATCTTTATCAGTGTTTTTCAAGGCCTTTAATACAAGACAATGTTGAAAAGTGTAGCAAAATTACAATAAAGTCTGCTGGCAGGTTCGTTTGGTTTGTTTAACACAGTGCAGTGTGAAAAATAACCGTACTAGCTGAAAATGTAACAATTGTTGTAATTTTGGTCCCCAATCGAACAGAATCTACCGGACAACCAGGTGTGAAAACACCCCAAGATGTCATCTTCATAATATTTTAGATGTAATTGAAACAAAAAATCCCTCTAAGAAACTTTTAGATAAAACACTGACATCTCTGACTCATTCTATTGAGAGAAATAATAAAAATATGATGATTCTAATATCGTTCAGTGGTTTCTTTAAAAATATTGAGGCATTTCTTGTAATAGAAATAATATGAAGAGTTTTTTTATAAAAGTTTCTATCTTTCACTAATTCAGTCAAAGGTAGAGTCGCACCCAGTTCATTTCAGACCAGCCAATAACAGCTTCATCTTTCCTCTGAATCACTGGTTCCGATTTTTCTTTGCCTGTAATTCAGATTCAGCCATTAAAAGTAACAAACAATAAGTACAAAAGAAAAACACGCTGCAGGCTGTTTGATGGAGGTAGTAGAATAAAGTCAGTAGAAAATTAAGACATTACAAAAATAAAAACCTATTTATATTTCAAAGCTTATGTCCCTGATCTTTGTTGAACTTTTACTAAACACAAAAGCAAGTTTAGTTTTATGATTGATGCATTATAAGGTAAAATGCATAATCAAAACAGGATTTCTTTCAACTCCTAGCAAGTCTTTTATTTCTAAGCCTGCAAAGAAATTCAAAACATGAAATTAAACATATCTGAGGAGCTCGAACTTTAGCTTTTATTATAATTAATGACTACCTCATTCAGCAAAAAGCATATCTTAACAACGATACTGTAAATTTTAGCTCTTGGGATTTCTTCACCAGTAAACTTTCATTTCATTTTCCCAACAAAAATATGGGAAATAAACAGATTTTTTGTTTTCTGCTTGCTTTGATAACAAAACCTACATTTCTGCTGCCATGTGTCAAATGTCCAAATTTGTTAGGTTTCTACTTAATATTCAACACACAAATAAACCCAGTAGGGCTCTCCCAGCATCCGCACTCTAGTTGTGCCTCAACGATTACCAATGTACTTCAGCTAAATAGTTAATTAGTCAGGATACACATTCTCTCAAAGTGACTTCCATCTTTCTAGACAGCGCTTATCCTATTGTCTCCTCCTTGAAGGCACCAAATTAGCAGGGACAGTAAGGCTCTGCTGCTCCGGCAGGGACAACACAGCGCTTTCTCTCCCTTCAAGGGGAGACAGCAAAGGGCACGGGAAAAATAGTTTGAGTGATCGCTACGTCTAGCTGACTAATGAACAGTTCAGCCCAGGTCAATCCATTACAACCAAAAGCATTTAATTATTAATTACGGCCAATCCATAGGCAGTTAAGGACAAGTGACACTGTATGTTTAATGTGCAATATGGCTGGTGATGGGGGCAGTGGGTGGCTGTTGTTGTTGAGGCATTTTGGCTATTAGTGAATGTCAGCAAAAAGCGCTGGGGAAAAAAAAAATGAAGAAAATGTGATTGCTGGTTCTGATGAGGGGCAGTGCGCGCTCACATACAGTATTCATGAGGACGACAGCATGGCAATAAATCAAAGAACAAACATGCTTAGGTGGGTTTACCCTGTGTGTTAGTCTGGCACAAAAAAGTGACATTTTAGATTTAATTGGTAACAGAAGCCTATTCTCAAGAGGATGAGTAGCTGATCCAACACTTGTTAGGATTTCTGCATATTTTCATATACAAATTCAACTAAAGAGTTCATAATCAAACACAAAAGTTCACAATTCATTTACTGAATCAATATGGAAGCAAAAGAGGAAAGAAGGAAAGTTCGATGGATGGATAAACTAGCGAATACAGTTGGACAAACAGGACTGAAAACATTTCCCAGCTCTGGATAAATTTCAAGGCCTCATCTTGTGGCATGTGACATCTACGCAAAACATAATGTCTTCTTTCAAAATCGCCGCATATTTTATTTACGATTTTGCTTAGTCTTATATTCCCATGTACTCCTGATTTCAAACAGGTTTTCTCAGAAACAAGAACGCAACCTCCACCTACAAGACAGCCATTACCTTTTTACATAACAGAGGCAGGGAAAAAAAAAAAAAAATCCTGCTACGACATAATTCTGGCTCTTGTAGTCCACAGAATTCAGAACTGTGTTTTTGTGCGGCTGTCACTCGTGACGAGTCCAGGCTCTACTACAGTAATGTGCATACGTCTGTTGCCGGAGGCTGTTGCATAGGGTGAAGGGTTGAGTGAATGGGGAGCAAAGCCGCCTGAGTGGTTTGCTTCATTAGGAAACAAAATATAAGCTTTCCGGGCCATTAGGACTGACTTTAGATGCAGAAGCACATAAGAAGGCGACTCACCTCATCAACGATGCATTGCAGTAACTGGAGAGGCTGACGAGGAGAAGCAGAAGGAGTCGGGGGGGGGGGAGAGAAACGTTAGCCTACATGGAATTTCTTGGCAATAGGGGAAATCAGTTGTGTGATAAAAAAAAAAAAAAGTACTAAGATTAATCACATGCAGCAAGCTCAGGCAAAGCAGGGTTTTTATTATTCCATTATAGCACCTAATGTAATACCAGCAGTTTAGGCATAATCTAATAATTTGCTGCAAAAATCCAATCTGAGTGAGTTTTTTTTTTAAATGAGAGAGTCAACCAAGAGTGACAGACTATATGCAGAGAAGGAGACCTCTGGCTTCTTGCATCCTATTCCACAGCAATAAAACTTACCATTAGAGATCCTTGGTTTTTCTGAATCTGTAGGGCAAGACAGAAGAAAGAAAAAAAAAAAGAAAAGAGATGAGGCAATATGTAATTAGTGTGTCATAATCAAGACGATGCACTTGGAAACATTATGATCACCAGGAGAAAATTATTGCTTTCCTGTTGGCAATTTGTGAGTACGTACTAACACCATTTACATAATGAAAACACACAAATGTTAATGGTCTGGCTCTCATTTGTGGGGAATGGGGGTAAAAGATCCACTAATGCTAATTTTCTGAGCATTTCTTTATTCCTGCCCTCCAGGTTATCTGGATGTGCTGCGATGTAGAATAACTGTGAAACAGCGTTGGAGGAGATTTACAGCGGGCCACGCTGAATGTCTGCTTTACAGGTATAATGGTGCGTTTTAAGCGACTACTAAAGGGAGGGAAGTATTGCTTGTATGGGGAAGAAATGTGAGGAGCAGGTCCTTAAAAGTGAGGAAAATAACATTTTGTAAAAGATTTAGGCTAGTTCTGGAAAGACGTTGGTAAAAAAAAAAACATACACACACGCACAGCTATGATGGAAAAAAAAGCATAATGTTCTTAAAAATGTATGAAGTAGAAAAGGGGCTTTTGATTTGAAAAATGTAGACATGCCATTTTAACTTAAAATGCATGAAATGGCAGTGGAGCTAAGCAAAGCATTAAGTCTTCCCATTCAAAACCCCTCCAGGGATGAATTCACTACAACAACTTGTTTTCATTTCTAAAAACCTTAAATTTATACATTCATCACTCAGAATAAATGATACAAGGCTTAAAACCTGGGCTCAGCTGAACAGATTGCTCATTTCTCCACGTCTTTTGACAGTGCATTAGAGCACTTATTGATTCACTCAATTAAATACAGGTTTTCGCACTCTGTAAATACCAAGAGACTCCTAAACTGCCTCTATATCCAGTTTTGCCTGATTCAGACACATTAAAAGCAACTATGGAAAACTAATTTGTTCTGAAATAATTACTAAAACAGAACTGCGAGCTGCTCCAGGGCTTGAAATTGGATAGAGGGAGGCTAACTTATTTAAAACATAATTGAGGACCTATTGCACTTCTACATAGCAGCGCGGCAACATTTCAAAAAGAAGAATTCAACATGTTTGTGTGTTTATATAAGTCATTAGGTGAATGTTCATCCTGAGGGTAAACAATGCCTGATATGATAATCAAACTGGGGAAAAAAAAAAAAAAAGATCTTCTGGCTTTCTTCTCTATAATGTCACATCCAAGAAGACGGCACCGTGTATGAGGATGTATTTACTTCTGTGTATGTGTGTGTTTGTGACACAACATGATGAATGCCTCTGTGGAAATCATCAGCTTTCCGTCTCTGCTGAGCTTATGAAGTTTCGCTTTTCGCTTTCTTGGAAATATCGCAGAGAGCTCAGCGTGAAGCCAGAAGTCAAAAAATCAATATTCAAATGCATAACTCTTTTTTTTTTTTTTGCCTGCTCAATGTAACTTCATGAAATATATCAGATTGTGAGTTCATACTTTATATATATATATATATATATATATATATATATATATATATATATAATATTTAAAAGTGTGCATGTTTTGACAATGTAATGAGATCATAACGAGAGACAATATTGCATAAAGATTAGATGTGCAACCCTGAACTACAGCTTTCATTACCATGAAACCAATACACCTCAAACTTTCCCACATTCATTTTACAACCACATACTTTCATGTAAGGAGGTTAAAATGATAGACAAAAAAAAGTAGTGCATAATTGAAAGAGAAAGGAAACAGCAGTGATCCACAGTTTATGTGGGAGAAACTATAGAGAAGATGATAATTAGTAATGCCCTCCTCCAATCTATCCTCGCTCAAGTAAAAAATAAGTAGTACCGTCGGAACAAACCAAGAAGAAGGTAGTCTGGTCGGATGACACCAAAATTAGACTGTATTACTTGTTAGTGTAGAAAAAAACACTGCATTTCACCCTGAACAGACCATGTGCAACATGTCACCATCATTTAATGCGATTAGTCCTGAGATGGTGATTCACCTTCAATCAAACTTACACTCAGAGGTAAGTAATAGGGTATTTAGGAGACATATTCATGAGGTCGAACGGTCCACACAAAGTCAGATCTAAATCTAACTTAGATTGTCTGGCTATAGTCCAAACTAATTTTCATAGATGCTATGTGTCCAATCTTTAATTTGGAAATAACATATATTTTCCTTACACTTTTACAGTTACGCAATACTGTTGTTCCATCACTTACAGTACAATTAAAAAAATGCAGATGTTTGTGGTTCCACCATGACAGAACGTAAAAAATGTTTTAATAATAAATAATGAATACGATGAAAAAGTCTGGATTTCTTTACATAACTGTCTGCGCTTTCGCTTGTGCAAGTTAATCCCCAATATTAACTCTTTGAAAAAGGGTAATATTATTGTCAGTATCTGTAATCATGTAGGGTGCTGACAAACACACACAGAACTTTGTTTACAACTATCCAGTGAGTAAAAAGAAGAAATATAAACTATAATGTTTCTATTTGTGCTGAGGGGGAAAAAGTAACAGAGGGAAAGTGTCTGTAGTCTTTGATAGATGCAGTGATGTGTAATGAAAAAAACAACAACCAAAAAACAAAAAAACTCAGAATGATATTTCATCCGGGAATCTATTCAAATATGAGAAATATGACAAAAATGAAGCGAAACAAAACAATAGAGCAAACCAAAACGACAACAAATCAATCAGAAGCAATAGTGCTGGCGGCTGTATACACATCACATCATCAGGTCTGGTGTCTTCAAAGACTTTCAGAGCGAGCCGTGCAAAACTCCATTAACTCCTGACAAAGAACGCAAATGAATCCCAACATGTGGTGAAGTGGAATTAAAGAGACCATCTCTAATCATAGCAAACATGAGGTGATGACTCCACTCTGCATGTATACATGCACACACACAAAAGGATGAATGAGCGCCAGCTGAACAAAAAGCTGCAAATAAAAGCAAATAGAAAACAAGCAGACATCCTCAGAATTTTACAGTATGAATGACACATCCCAAACACAATATTGGCTTTCTTTGGGAGTGCAATTTACGAATGCCTGCAAGCCAAACGTAACTCTTCCAGTATCCTTGGCAACTTTAAGGCTGAAATTCGTGTGTCACAGATTCACTCGCGATCTTAACCAACTTCCTTGGTCTGTGCTGAAATGTTTTCTTTGAAGTATAGCGGGGAGAGGGGGTTTGCACAAACAGCTGTGCCAGCATCTGAAAAAAAAATGACAGGTTAGGCCCGAGGACTTTGGCTGGCTGCGCTTGACGAGCTGGATCCGATCATTCTCGCCACATAGCTCTGCCACAGCCTGCAGGTGAACTGTCTAGAGTGCCATATGGAGTTAGGGGAAAATTAAGACCGAAATAAGGAAACTGTTGGACACGCGGGAGCATAAACAACTGACAGATATTCCAAATATTCTGTGCAATCCCTCAAAATCATTAGGTGAGGAAGGAACTACATAAGAATGATAAGATTACTGTAAATTAGGGAACCTCTAACCAAAACTAGAACAGCTCCAGACTAAGTTCGCAAACACAAACTCTCCATATATTGACTTGCAGATGTGTATGTGTTCTATTGCTGCATAGAAATATGAATTTTCTTCCCTTTCACAATGACTCATTTTGAGAATGAACATTAGAAACAGCAATATCTACCGGAATCAGACTCACTGATCATGGAAAAGTTTTTGGACTTCAAGTCACACTCATGTATAAGTTACAAGTATCTAGAAATTGTCAAACTTGATTTGGTGACATGTTGTGTTCAGCTGCTTTTCATCAAACTCACAGAAACTGTCAACTTTGGATTGGAAGTCTGCTGGGAGTTTTTGATGCACTGACGTCCATGCACTAAATCAGCGCGGCCAGTGATGGCTGATTTCTGTCGGTAAAGTGCGCAGCACAGCAGAGACACATGAGGTGTAAATCCAAGGTGATGGATGGGCAGTTCCATTGCACAAAGACGTAACACCAAGAAGATAGAAGGGCTGTGTGAAAAGTAAAGTTTTTTATTCTTCTAGTGAACTAGCAGGTTCTGGAGACGCAACTGCACCATTCACAAGCCTTTTATGACTCAAATGAAACCATTTCTCAAGTGTCATGGTTTGGGCCTGCATGACTGCTGCTGGCTGTGGGGATCTACAGTTCACTGACGGAACCGTGAGTGCCAACATGTACTGTGACATACTTAAGCAGAGCATTCATTTCAGTGCTCCAGTCCACTGCAGTATTCAAATGCGATGATGACCTCAAACACACTTCTAAGATAACCACTGCCTTGTCAAAGGTGCTGGCCTGGCCAAGCATGTCTCCAGATCTGAACCCTTTTGAGGATCTGTGAGGCATCCTCAAGCAGAAAATGATGTCCTGGAGGAGTGAAAGAGGATTCTAGTGGCAATCCGTGAAGATCTACTGAACTTCAAGATTAAGAGAGTTAAGGCAGAGCTTGAAAATAATGGTGGCCACACAAAATGATGACACTTTAAGCATGATTTGGACTTTCTGACTTAGGGGTGTACTCATTTTTGCTGCCAGCAGTTTAGGCACAAATAGGTATGTGTGGGTCTTGTCCCATGAAAAGATATAATAAAATATTTACAAAAATATGTGACGTGTACTCACTTTCGTGACATGCTGTATTTTAGCTTACCTAGCCAAGAAATAAAGGAGATGCACACCTCTCTATAATTGCAGATACCCTTGGTATAGATGTGACCAAAAAAATGAAGAAATAAATGGCTTATAGAGAATTGGTGATCCCTTCATTCATTCCCTCACAGTTAAATTTTACCATATAATCCAAATAAATCCAACAACGTCCTTGGTATTCTGTCAAGACTGGAAAAAAAATAAATAAAATAAATAAAAAAAATATATATATATTTTGGACTTCAAGTCCCACTCATATATATATATATATATATATATATATATATATATATATATATATATATATATATATATATATATATATATATATTTTTTTTTTTCAAAAATCTAATATCCTTACAATAAAGTCAAGGTCTCTTTACCTCATTGTAAAGAGATTGATTTTCACACAATACATCCTGAACATAAATCCGCCTCTTTAGATTCTTAGCAGGAGAGCAGCCAGCAGGTATCCTGAGGTGACCAGATTCAGATTGCTCAGGGACGGATTAGCAAGTTAAAGCCAACTTAAAGTACTAATTAAGACTTGATGGGATTGGGAAGTCACTTCTGTAGTCAGCAATTACATTTGAGGAGGATTTTAATTTACTGTAATAAGGAGGAGGGAACGGGCCCAGACAACAGCCTCATACACTGAAAGCTGTATCTAAACAACAAATATTTATCAGTATAAACAGGAACGGAAAATTCCTAGGATTATTAGTATGTCAGTGTCAGTCAGGAGCAATCTGCAGAACCTCCACCCAAAGAATAATCAAAGGAATGTGTTGGGGGTGGGGGGTAAATCAACCTAGATTAGAAATATCATGATCTCACAGTATTTACACACACATTTCAAACTATATTAATTGATAAAATCATCCCTTTAAAGAAACACAGAAAAGCAACAACTCATCCTACTGCTGTTGGAATTACATAAAATATTGACCAGTGCTGTTGTTATATGTTAAACTGTAACATTCATGCTTAATTTGATTTTAACACAGACTCTAACAGGAAGTCTAGAAGAAAGCGTAGCCAGAAAATTGAAACAAAAAGCTGTCAAACTTCATAGTATTGTTCCCATGTTTTTGAGCAGAATATCAATTCATGTCCATCGGCTGTTTATAAAACACCTCAAGAAATACAAGCTGGTTATTAATTAGGCTATCTGCCGGGGTGAAGCCTGCTGTCGGCAGCTTAAATTCACTAGCGTGCTTTAAGTGTGTCCAGTCCAGTCATGAAAATCACCATCCATCACTCTTATTTAGTAGCTTTAAAATTGTGTTAACTAAATAAGAGTGATTAAGATGTTACTGTCTTAGAGAGAAGTTTTGAAACCATTGCTTTTAATCGTGCATAATGCCCAACTACATTTTAAGATACTGCTATTTATCTGTCAAGTACAGTTCATACTTATAAATGCAATACAAACACAAAATTAAAAACGACTTACTTGAGGGTACGGGAACATGCCAAGAGCCAACTGTGAGAAGAAGAACAATAATTACTAATAAAAGAGATCTAAAAACATCAAAAAACAAATTACAAAAACACTTCATGCAATTTCTATTTTCCTATGTGTGAAAAATCCCAACAGTGGAAAAAATGAATAACATCAAAATTATATAGCTCTTTATTAGGACACTCAAAAACACACATTCATAACAACTGGGCTGAATGTTGTGGCAAACATTGGCTATAATCTTTACATGGGAGCGTATGCTCCGGTATGTAACTTAATTGTACAACATTAAGCTTTAGATTAAACTGTATATTTAAATTTTATGCGCTCAAACAGCATTGTATTCCCACTTCTTGTATTCAGAAATGGACAGAGTGAGAGAACGTGGGTGCTGAAGCAAATGTACTAGCGGAGACTTCCAGCCTTCAAAGTAAGCTTAGTGCCCACCTGCTGGTAATACTTCTCGGTCAAACAACGTCAGCTATTACTTAATAACCTCCATGCAATCTCCCCCCTACCCTCCCCCCCCCCTCACCGGAACAACATAGACTAGCTGTTCTCAACGTGGGCGGTACCGCCCCCCCGGGGGGTGTTCAGAGGATGGCAGGGGGCGCTGGCGGAAATTTTTACAAAAAGGGGGGCGGTGAGATTCCTTTGGGGAGCGTTTAGTCGAAGGTAAACTTTACACCTTATATGCACAACAATACCAGGTTAGACTTTGAGCAACTTTCTAAAACTGTATTGTGTAACA